TTGGCAATGTCTTGCTACTATTCGGATGTTAAAGAAGCATTTCTTTAAAAAAAATGTAGTCTGAACCAGTGACTATGATTCTTGAACCTGGCAGAATTCCGAGGGCACTCATTAAGAGCCTCACCTCTCAAAATGGCCAGAGTTGCTGGTCAGTGACACACTGAGGGACTGATGACCTCATAGTTCTTTCCTAATAATAGAAACAATACTGATTGGGCTAATGATAAAAGCTCTTCCTTATCAAGTAATTCCCCTGCTCCACTAAACTGAACTTAAATTCAAGCGCCTCATCTCAGTGGAATCTGGACAATACAGGGTGCATTGTGTGCTTGAGAGGTGGCTGCTGGGAATTGGGACAAGAACAGTGACACCTGGCATGCTTCACAGAACTCTGGTGATTCATTCAGAGGAACACCTGAGCAAGTTAAGTTGCACTTGTCCTTGAACTGGAGCCACCAATCTCCATCCTGACTCATAACACAATCCAGGTGAGGTTTAGTGCTCCTATTTCCAAAGATTGCCCAGAACCAATTCCTGAGGTATCTGAAGGGCTTCTGTTTGGAGAAGGGGTTGAAAGACTCCCTCCAGCTGCTCTCAGCATAACTTTGTAATTGATCATAGTCCATATTAAGCACTGCCTATCACACTGACAATCAGACAGACATCCCTGAGGTTTTAATGAAATAATGCTCATGTGCTTGGGGGGCCCCAGACATTTTTTCTGGTCTGTTTTATTCCATTTCATTCTTTCATTAAAATCACTGGTTGCAATAAGAAAGATCAGAATTCTGTAATTTGAGGGAACTGGAGGATGTTACATTAGTGAAGTAAATCAGCAGAGAAGACAAGTGCCACGTGTTTCACTTGTATGTGGAACATAAAACACTGATCCCAAAGAAATCAAGTACAGAGTGGCTGTTAGCAGAGCCAGTAGGTAGAGAAGGCAATGGGGAGAAGATGGCTAATGGGTGATGTGCTGGATAGGCATGGTGCCTACTAATACTTTGCGTGCACAGGAAGGCAACAAGTGATGACAGCAGTCCACTGAACATTTAACAATACCTAGTACAGAGAGTTCTGAGTGTTTGCAACACTAAGGGAGGACAAGGTCTGAAGTGAGATGACTATACCACATTTTGCCATTTGATCATTATGTGTTGTACACACATATTGGAATGTTGCTCTGTACTCTATAAATATGCAAATTACTATTTGTCAAGTAAGAAGAAAAGGTGTAAGAAACCCTAAAAGCACATCAAACAAACAAATATAAGTGATTGTTATGAGGACTGGTAAGACCGAAACTCTTAAATTGCACATCACTGGCGAGAAGATAAAATGGTCCAGTCTCCAGGCTGGAGACATGGCTCAGTGGTTAAAAGCATTGACTGCTCTTGCAGAGGACCCAGGTTTGATTCCCGGCACCTACATGGTGGCTAACAACCATTCATAACTTCAGTTCCAGGAACTTGATGCCCTCTTCTGACCTCTGCAAGCATTGTACAACACCAGTGCACTTACATACATGCAGGCAATACACTCATACACATAAAATAATAAAATAAATAAAACATTTAAAAATGGTTCAGTTTCTTTACAAAGCAATTTGACCATTTCTCACAATCTTTAAGAATTTATCAAATAGCCTAAAAGTTGTGCTCCTAGGCAGATATCAAAGACATGAAAATTGCATGTGAAATTTATGAAAACCTGAACACTAATGTTTCTATCAGTATTGTACATGGCAGCCAAATGTGAAATAACCATGCAATGGAATATTACTCATTATCAAAACACGTAAATTCTGATCTGTGCTACAACCTGAAACTTGAAGACACTATGCTAAGTGAAGGAAGCCAGTCACAAATAACCACATTTTATATGATTCTGTTCATAAGACACGGTCACAATAGACAACTCTTCTTTTTTGTCTTTTTTTTTTTTTTTCCGGAGCTGAGGACTGAAGCCAGGGCCTTGCGTTTGCTAGACAAGCGCTCTACCACTGAGCTAAATCCCCAACCCCTACTCTTCTTTTTCAGAGGCTATTGTGAATGGAGTTGTTTCCCTGATTTCTCTCTGTATGCTTGTCACACAACAGACATATCTAAACAAAGAGTGGCTGCCTAGGGCTGGGTGGGGTGAGGATGATGTGTGGGACTAGGTATGGAGTTTCTTCTCAGAGTGATGAAGATCTTCTAAAACCAGAATGTGGTAATGGTTGTAAAACTCTAAATTCATGCACAGACACAAATGAATCATACTGTTTAAAAGGGTGAGTAAATGGCATATAAATCTCAGAAAAATGGTTTTAAAATGAAGGTGTGAGCCCATAAATTGATTTCATCAGCCCAGACAGGTTGGAAACTGACCTGGAACAAGCTGCCCACTCCCTGCACACCTGCTACATCCTCTTCCTGAATCTCTGCCTGTCCTGCAGTGAGGAGGGTAGCAGTCCGTGATGGGCCAATGGACAGACAGATGGAGGGATGCGTGTGCAGGAGGACAGATCAAAGCCACCTGAGGCACAATTCCTACCATCTTGCTCCACAGCTGACCATCTCCGTCGCACTGGCAGCGACCCGTGCCTGTCAGAGAGACCCATTTCTCAGCTTTCCTAATGGCAAGAACAGCCCACTGAGAGCAGAAAAGCCCTGGGGAGATTTCTAAGAGATTTTTTTTCCATTTTAAATGATTTACTTATTGTCTCTTTGTGTGTGCGTGTGCATGTGCATGTCATGTGGAGGTCAGAGAACAGTCTGTGGGAGTTGGTTCTCTCCCTCCACCATGTGGATCATAGGAATGGACCTCAGGTCTTCCGGCTTGGTGGGAGGTGCTGTTGCTCTCTGAGCTATTTTGCTGGCCCTCCAACTTTTATTGCATTATGTTTGCTTGTGTGTGTGTGTGTGTGTGTGTGTGTGTGTGTGTGTGTGTACCACCTCACCCACTTTTAAGCACACAGTTCAAGGATATTAAATGCATTCATAGTGTGTAGCAACCATTTCTGATTGTTTTCATCCTATAAACCGGAAGGTCTAAGCTGTGTCAGTACCAGCTCCCTTTCTCTCTCCTTTCCCTTTAAGTGTTTTCTGCCTCCATGACTCTAAGAATGTCAAAGAAGTAGAATGAGACAGTGTTTGTCTTTTGTGACTGGTTTATGTTACTCAGCATGATGTCATCAAAGTTCATCCATGTGGTAGCATGTATAAGAACTTTCTTCCTTTTAAAGACTGAGCAATATTCTGTTGGATGTATAGACCCCTTTACTTTATGTACTCACCTGTCAATGGACATTCAAGGTACTTTTGCCTTCTGGCTGTTGTAAATAACACCATTATAACCGTGGGTGTACAAATGTCTCTTCAAGACCTTGCTTTTATCTCTCCAACCTTGCCTTTAAGTGTTTGGGTAAATACCCAGAAGTAAAGTCACTGGAACATGCCATAATTCTAGTTTTAATTAACTGAGAAACAGAAGCACTGTTTTCTATAGCAGCTGCCCCATTTCATGTTTCTATCATGAGGTGGTCAATTTTGACTGATTGACAGGATCTACACTCACCTAGGACACAAATTTCTGGGCATACTGTGAGTGTGATTCCAGAGAGGTTTAACTGAGGAGGGAAGATCCACCCTGAATGTGGACTGTACCATTTTAGACACACAGACTCAAGACAAGAAAGGAGCCAAGCAGCAGCCTTCCTCTCTGAGCTTCCTGACTGCTTACACAATTTGACAAGTCCCCCATTCTTCTGGTGTCACACCTTCTCTACCATGACGTATTCCATCCCTTCTTAAACTGTGAGCTCAAATAAACCTTCCTTCTTGACATTGCTGTTGTTAGATATTTTGTCACAGGAATAAGCAGGCAATATGCCCCAACAGTGCCCCGGTTCCAGTTTCTCCATGTCCCCCAACATTGATTTTGCTTGCTTGTTTGCTTGTTTTTACATAGTATCTTTAAATTTTTTGTGATTTATTTATTTTTATTTTATGTGTATGAGTGTTATACCTGCATGTGTGTCAGCATACCTGTGTCAGGCAATGCCCACAGAGGACAGAAGAGGGCACCAGATCCCCCTGGAACTGGAGTTACGGATGGTTGTTAGCTGCCGTGTAGGTGCTGGGAGTTGAACCTGGGTCTTCTGCCAGAACAACCAGTTCTCTTCACTGCTGAGTCATCTCTCCAGTCCCAAATATGGATATTTTTTTTTTTTGTCTTTTTAAGACAGGGTCTCCCTGTACCTCCAACTGGCCTGGAATTCACTATGTAGATCAGACTGGCCTCAATCTCACAGAAATGAAGAGTGTGTGCTTTTATTACTTTGATTTTGTTTGTTTTTTTTGGTTGCTTTTAAATAGTATAACAATGGATACTCATATGAGATTTGGGGGAGTAAAGAGGTTTACTAAGAGGCTGGAGAGATGGCTCAGTGGTTAAGAGCCCTGACTGCTCTTGTAGAGGACCCGGGTTTGATTCTCAGCACCCACATTACAGCTAACAATCATCCTTAACTCCAGTTCCAGGGAATTTGATGCCTTCTTCTGACCTCCACAGGTACAGGCAATACATGTACACACATAAAATAAAATAAAATAAAATAAAATAAAATAAAATAAAATAAAATAAAATAAAGAGACTGACTAAGCCCCTTTTCTTTTTCCTGCCTTGACCTGATAATGCTTCAGTGTTCAGAAGCCATCTTGTGACCCTGGGGTTGGAGTCAACACCAAGGCTGGTCAAACAAAGGCTAGGTGGAGGCTGAGACTCTGATGCTTCATTTCCTCTGACTTCTCTTAATATGGCTGAATAAATGAGACTGAGTTGAGTGACAGGGTTAGCAGCCAAGGGCACTTCTGAGTGGCATGCCACTGAAAGGAACCATAGCTTCCCTTTGTGCCATATGATCAGAGGCTAGACACTTCCAGAAATGGTAGCTCATCCTCCCTGGCCCTCCAGTGGACTTCCGAGTCCCGTCCCCAAAGGGAAACAGAGCCGCTTACCTGGTGATCTTAAAGATCCTGAGCAGCCGTACACATCTCAGCACAGAGATGCCCAAGGGAGACATGATTTTGGTCTCCACCAGGATGGTCTCCAGGATGCCCCCACACACGATGAAGCAGTCAAAGCGGTTGAAGAGGGATACGAAATAGGCCTGCAGGCCTAGGCTATACATCTTCAGGAGCATTTCTGCAGTAAAAAGGGCCAGGAGGGCCTTATTGGCTGTGTCTGACAGGTGTAGGAGAGGGAAGAGATTCAAGCAAGGAACAGAGAAGAGCAAAGAGGGAGGGAGAGAAAGAAAACAGTCACTGTCATAGCTGGAGGAAAAGACCCAGCCCTCCCTCCTTCCTATGACACCTCTCCCAGCCACTCCTGAAAGAACAATTAGGGCCAACCCAAGAGGAGGGGGTGGTCTGATTTCAGTTACTATAAGTGTGCCGAGCGTCCACCAGGTATCAGAGGTTTGGCAGGTGTTGCTCTCCTCAGTCTCCACAGCAGTTCTGTGAGGTATGCTACTGTTATCATCAAGCCCAATTTTTAGATGAGACAGGAGGTTCAGAGGGGCCAGTGACCTGCCCAAGCCAACAGTCAAAAGTTGAGGCCAGGCTTTCTGCATCTGCTCTTGTCACCACTGGACCATGTCCACCCAGGAGCCTCCATAACCTGAGGCACTGGACCACCTCCACCCAGGAGCCTCCATAACTTGAGGCACTGGACCACCTCCATCCAGGATCCTCCATAACCTGAGGCACTGGACCACCTCCATCCAGGATCCTCCATAACCTGAGGCATGTCTGCTTGATTCCCTGGAGGAGATGCTTAGGCATGGGTCATAGATGTCTAGGGAGGGGTTCAGGCAGGACAGTGATTTTTAGCTACCCTCTGGGGCCAGTTTCCTATGCCCAAACATGATTTGGTTCATGCTTACATCTTCTTTTGGTCTGGGTTAAGGAAATCTGGAGCTAGAGTAAGGCTCAAGGAGTTGAAAATCCTTTCTGGGAAGTTGGGAGCTAAGGGTCTGGAATAGCCAGATAAGCTGCAGCTCCTGTCTTACCACTGGGACTGAGGGGGTTAGGCAGATGGCGAGGGCCACATAAGTGCTCTAAGGGCCACATCTGTTTATACCAAGTCCCTGAATTTTAATTGGGGCTTGAATGTTGCCAGGTCCTTCGTGTCTCCCGCATGGCACCAGCCAAGAGGCACTGTCATTGGCTGCTTTCCTGCCAATGCTCCCCCAGGACCCAGGGTTGAGTTAGCAAGAGTGTACAGGCCAAAGCCAGGGGCTGTTCACCTTGCACTTCTGTGAGCCAGTGGGGCTGGTTGTAATGTTCAGAGGCAATGGTGAGTGTATTGAGGAACACAAGGAAGATCACAAGCCAGTAGAAGATGTTGGACTTGACGGCTGCACGACACTTTCTTCTGCAGAATCGGTTCCACCTGCGCCAGTAGCGGCTGGAAAAGGGGCAGGAAAGATAAGGTTGGCTGGGAGATGCAGACTTCTGCCAACGCAAAGCATACCAGGTGGCATTTCACCTGTCACTGACTTGACCTTACTACAATAGCACAACCTGGTGGTTGGGTAATCAGACTTCTATGGCGCTATCCAGGCTCCACTACTTAGTGAGCGATGTGGCCTTGGGCATACCCATCCCTGATCTCTAAACTTATTTGAAATGAGAACAGGGCTAACTTCACAGGACTGTCACGAATATGATAAAACGCCATATAATGCATCTGTCACGCAGTTGAAGTGGTTCAAATGGAACTACTTTTATTTTCTAAGCTGGGGTTATACCTTAGTGGTAAAGCCAAGCATGTATAGGACTTGATTTCAATTCCCAGCAGAGAAAAATAAATTAAAATAGTTTAATAATAATTTCCAGTTACTTTAAGTTTATAATAATAGCATTATTAAAAAACAGTGTCATAAGTATTTGGAGTAATCAGTAATAGTAGTGGTGGCAATGGCTGAATGCAAATGGTTACCACGAGTGAACTTTCTGTATGCCTGGATAGAATCTTAGGAAACCCTTAGGCCTCTCTATAATTATTTTTTAATTAAATGTATTTATTTATTTTATGTGTAACTGTGTTTTGCCTGCATGTACATAAGTGCACCATGCTGTGCAATGCCCAGAGTCCAGAAAAGGGTATCAGATCCCCTGGAACTGGAGTTAGACAGTTGTTAGCCACCATGTGGGTGTTGGGAACCAAACCTGGGTCCTCTGCAAGAGCAGCCAGTGCTCTTAACCACTGAGTCATCTCTCCAGCTCCTTCCAATATCACCAGCTCAAGGTACCAAGGACAGATTGTATTCTGGACATCCCATGGAGATGGACCTCTACACTAACGATCACTCCACTCATATCCACATTGTCTTTGGGATAGCTGAGCTTCACCTATGACTTGAACACTGTCGTTTTTCTCCCTATTGTCCATGGAAAATCCTGTTACCAAGCCATGATTGAATTCTGCAGTAAAACTGAGAGAGTAAGGAGCAATCCAAGAACTTTGGTCTCCTGAAAGCCTGACCAAGAATAGATTAAGCTTGGTGTACTCACTCGATCCATCTTTCACCTTGCAGGGGGCATTTAGCTGCTGCACGGGGAAAATCCACAATGCAGAGAAGAGACACCATGTATTCAGAAATTAATCTCCAAGTACATTGTGGGAGACTTGATACCTCCAGCCATAGCACATACAATGATGAGGATGGGGGAGTATGTGGAGAGGAACAAGAAAATAGGATGAACCCAGGTAGCTGTAATGAGGAGTGGCCTCTGGTGTTTGCCAAAACTTGATACTGGGCAGTGCTATCTTATTAGGACAGGCACTGGATAGCTTCAGTTGTCAACTTGACCCACCTAGGAAGAGGAAACCTCAACTGGGGAGTTTTCTTTATTGGATTTGCCTGTGGCCATGTCTGTGAGACATTTTGTTGACTCTCGAATGATGTAGGAGGGTCCAGGCCATTGTGGGCAGTGCCACCCTTGGGAAGGTGGCTCTGGGTTGTATAAGAAAGAAGGCTGAGCATAGGCTGGAGGAGCAAGCCTACTGGAGCAAGCAGTATTCCTGTGGTCTCTGCTTCAATTCCTACCTCCAGGTTCCTGCCTTGAGTTCCTCCTCTGACTCTCCTCAGGGATGGACTGTGATCTGGGAGTTCTAGGATGAAATAAATCCTTTTCTCCCAAGTTGGTTTAGTCAGTGTTTTATCACAGCAATAGAACATAACTAAGACAGAAATTGGTACAGGATCATGGGGTATTGCTGTGAAGGACCTGAACATGTTTGGGGGAAGATTGTGGAAGTTTTTGGAGCTTTGGAGTGGAAACGTCAGTGAGTGCTTGGAGCCTAGTGAGCTGTTTCGTGGGAACTTGGAAGATAATGCTGAAAGAGATGTAGATGATAGGGGACCATCTTGTCAAGTTTCAGAGGGAAGCAAAAACTCTATCAAGGCTGTTCATGTGATAACTTTTTAGTTTGTGGATGTGAAACCTTTTGTGGTTTACTGGGGAGATGTTGGTTAGTTGGAGCTGAAAAATCAACTGTGACTAACAAGAGACCAGCATCACTGAGGTGAAATCTGGGAAGTATTTCCTCAGGGTCAGTATACAGAAGCTCTGCTCCAGAGGAGACCAAGGTTGCATCTCAAGCTGGAAGCAGAGCTTGGTAATGCATAAAAGTCTCCTACATGGAACTGGTTTTAGTGGCATGAAAATTGCAGAATTAAAGGGGTCATGGAGAAAAGCTGAGATATAGCACTGTGAGAGGTCAGGAGAAGCTATTGGTGGAGGTGCAGCCTAAGTTGCTGTGGAGAGCCCAGGATGTTGGGAGATGCCAGCACTATGAGACGTTTACCAAGGACAGTGGTAGGTATGGAGTGGAGCTGACCTGAATCTAGGAGAGAAGCTACATGTGCTGTGGATGGCAGAACCAGAGAAGTGGAACTTCTCAAGCCCTTCAGAGCTAGAAGATGGTGACTGAGTCCCAGATACTGGACATTGAGTTACATTGCTGGACTTTGGTTTTGCTCAAGTCTGTCTGGTTGTTCCCTTTTGAAATAAGAAAGCATGCAGCTAATTTTACAGCAGTATTTATTTCACAACAGTCCACAGTTAAGAGTTTTTGGTTTATTTTAAAGAGACATTGAACTTTTAAGTGATAGAATATTTGAAACTGTGGGACTTTTAAAGTTGCCCAATGTTTTATATAGTGATGTTAATATTAATGAGATCTTGGAGACAAGAAATGGAAGGGTTGTAGTTTAGTAGTGATGTGTTTGTGTGTCAAGTTCACAAGGGGTCACTTGTGCTGGATAACTTCAGTTGTGAACTTGACACACCCAGGGAGAGGGAACATTGAGGATTGACCTGTGGGCATGTCTGTGAGGCATTTTCTTGATTGTTGAGTGACATGGGAGGGCCCAGCCTACTATGGGCGGTGCAATCCCTGGTCAGTGGTATTGGGTTGCTTAAGAAAGCAGACTGAGCAGAGGCCAGAGGAGTAAGTCAGTGAGCAGCATTCATCGCTGCTCGAGTTCCTGCCTTGGCTTCTAACAATGATGAACTATGACATAGAAGTGTAAGGCAAATAAACCCTTTCCGTCACAAATTGATTTTGGTCAGTACTTTATCATAGCAATAGAAAGCTAACTAGGACAAGACATGATTCTAACTTCCTCCTGAGATCATGATTATTATCATTATAGAGAAATTTGGTAAGGTTTTTTTCCGAGAAATAAAATTTCAGGACACATGATTTAATCTTTAAAACTTATATATTAGTGGCAATGAATATATTTTAAATATATAGAGTTCCATATTGCAGAAATTACTGATAATTGCCATGAAGACTGCAAAGCATTTCAGGGGTTTTGTTGTTGTTGTTTTGTTTTTAAACAGTCGGCAGAAACTAACTTGGAATCATTTTATACTGAGAATTTGATCAAGGTCATCTCTCTGACGTTTGTGAGTAGTGCACATGGGTTGCCCTACGGTCAGGCCTACCACATGAGTCTGGAATTGTTCTGCTCCAGCCCTCTTAAGTGTAGCTGCTATTGCACAGAGCACTCTGGAAAGTCACATGGATTTGGGTTGTGGTGGGGATGGGGGTAATTACTACCCAGAGAAAGTATTTAAAGATAATTGTACATCTCCCACTCTTCAAAATATAGCTTAGCTTGACAACTGGTTTCCTGGCAACACTTCCTACTGTATACGAAATGTAATAGTTTATTAGAATGTGTAAATTTATTTGTATGTTTACATATGCACGGAGGATATAGAAATTAAATGATAAAACAGGGAGGAGAAATTTGCCTGCTATTCATAGTCCCTTTGCATTAGTTTAGAAGCCATTTACTCTAGAAATAGGGGAACTCGGGAGAGAAGGATGGATGCAATTGTATCTACTGCATTTCTTGCATCGTCTGTAGCATCCTGTGTTGCCCCCTTTCCTCGGCTCATCTTATTTTCACCCTGCTCCCAACACAGAGCTTTGTTCCCGCCTTTTTAGCAACACAAAATGCTCTCCCAACTACGAAGGGCACTTTCCGTTTCCATCTTCTAGGCGCTGGCCATCCTTAAGATTCAACTCAAGTCCCAGCTTTTTTTTTTCACAGTGGACTCTCTGGTCTTCCAGTCTTGCCATCCCTGTAGAGTTTGTTTACACTACAGATTTTTGTTTGTAGAGTCAAGAAACACTTATGGGAGCTAGAGAGATGGTTCAGCAGTTAAGAGCACTGGCTGTTCTTGCAGAGGACCCAGGTTCAGTTCCCAGCACCCACATGGTGGCTAACAACTGTCTATAACTTCAGTTGCAGAGGATTTGTCACCCTCTTCTGACCTCTGCAGGCATCACACAACACGGGTGTGCTTACATACATGCAGGCAATGCACTCATAAACATAAAATAAAAATAATAATTAACATACTTATAAAAATGTATTAAACACCTACTGTGGGCAAAGTAAGATGTCAGCTGTTAATAACAGATACAGTCCTTGTCTGTACAAAGCCCACCTAGGGCACCAAGCAGTAGGTGAGGAGGTACAACAGAACATGCTACACGCTGAGAGATTCTGCAATCTGTCCTCGGGCCACACCTTAGCCAGCATGGAGGTATATGGAGAGGTTCCCGGGGCAGAGGACTTCCATTGCCTAGTGTCATCAATTCACTTCTATTTATGGCTCTTCATTCTCTAATGAGATAATGAGATCCACAAGAGGCAGGGACTGTGCCTTCCACTTTGTTACAGACCTGGAGTGTTTACCATAGTTCATCTCACAGTAAGAGATGAGGAAGAGAACTGAGAAAAAAGAGCCAAGAAAAATCACTAAGTTTAATTTTATGAGTAAGTTGCCTAAAAATGGGCAATTAGAGATTGGGGAAAACTTGGGTTTCTGTCTCACTGCTTATGACATGGCAGAGGTACAGGGACATGGGAGGAACTTCTTGTTGAAGACCTTATATTTTAGAGCCCTGGGAGGTTTGTTCAGAATTCTGTATTGTTGTACTCCGGAAACCCTAACCAGCCATCTGGTCAGTGCTGCACAGTGAACCCCAAATGTAGCAAATTCCTTATTTTCTTTTACATGAAAATTTGGATTACCAAAAGAATAGCCTGCTATCATCTGTATTATAAAACCATCGGTGTGTCAATTTTTTCCTAAAAGCTCTATTCAAATAATTCTTTTGAAATTAACCATGACTTTGTATCATTCAGTTTTGCATATGCAAATGAATTCTATTATTATCACTATTACATTCCTTTATCTAACTGAGAACTATTTGACAATGGGGCAGCATTTCCAGTCTGCCACCTACCTTCGATGCTCCATAACTTGACATCATCAATGGGCTGGAGGATCTAGGTTAGGCTGCCTCTTGTAGTACTAGTCACAACTTCTAGGGTCACCTTGTCTGGGTAGGACAAGGTGCACATGGCCAATCTGAACTAAGATGGACAGTAAATGTAACACATGTATTGCATGCTGGGTTGCAAAGTTTTGGTACAAAAAAAAGTGCAAACTATCTCACTAAAATGTGTTATATTAATTATATGTTGAAACAGTAGTGTTTTCACTACACAAGGGTAAATGAAAGGCATTATTACCTACTGCTCCTTTGTACTTCTTTGATATGGCTACTAGAATAATTTTCAAAGCATCCAGGGGACTTGCTCTGTATCACGAGTACAGCAATTCTCTTGTGCAGTCCCCTCTGTGCCAACGATACAATAAGGGGTGCAGAAACAGGTTTAGTACATCAGCCAAGACTTGACCTGCAGGATGGCCCAGGTTATTCCTGAATTGTGACTGTGGGTCTCGGTAAGCCTCAGGTCTTCTCTGCAGATGTTTTTAATGGCTGTACCAATCCACTAACAATAAGCCATTTGAAATCCAATGTCTCTTCTCTACACTTTTCTTATATTGTGAGTGCAGAGAGAGAAGCTCTCCTTAGAGGTAGCAATTAGAGCCCTGAGGCTGGAGACAGCAGTGTGGACAAAGCATCAAGGTTCAGCAGCTCCTCATGTTTTTAAGAACACACTTTATATCATACATCTCCAGATGGAAAGTTTGTATAGTCTTCTGATAATCTCTAACTAGACAGAGCCTATTTAATATCTGACCTTTTCTTCAGCTTCTAGACTGTGCTTCTCCATTCTTTCATCTATGATTTCTCCACTTGCATGTGATGAGAATGGAATTTGGGGAGTATTTTCACTGCTTTTTGTTTTGTTTTGTTTTTTTGTTTTTTTTGGTCTTCTTGAGACAAGGTCTCCCTGTAGCCCCAGCTGTCCTGGAACTATGTAGACCTGGCTGGCCTTGAACTCACGGAGATCTGCCTGCCTCTGCCTCTCGAGTGCTGGGATTAAAGATGTGTGCCCCCCACGCCCAGCTTCACTATATTTTTTATCTCTTTGCTATTACTGTGTGGGGGTTTCAGAACTGTTAAGAGTCCACATGGTTGTCAAATTTGACATTTTATTTGAATGTTTGTCAAGTTTATTGTCTTATCAAGGAAGGTGATTCATATATTTAGTCATTCATTCACTTGGTAAGTATCATTAAACTTTTATTATATCCTAGCCACTTCTCCACATGTTGGACATAAAGAAGAAAAATCTATTAATTTTTCCATCGAGAGGACTTTTTTATGTTTCTGGAGTTTTCTTTCATGTAATAAAAGCCAGGACTGGTAGATCTGACTCTTGAATTTTATACAAAATAGGTCTTGGTTTGAAAGAAAGAGAAAGGGAGGAAAGCCTGCATTTTCCAGTCTCACTGGAACATGGGAGAGAGAGGGAGTCAGAAGTAGGGAAGAGTCAGACAGCAGAGTCCTCGTTTAATCTTGATGCCTGGGGATAGAGCCCCATGAGAGCAGAAAGACCTGCTCAGAAATACCTGTGCTCTAAGAAGGAGGCTCAGGGACACTGGGGCTTCTGGGTAGGCCCTGCGAGAATGTCAATCATTAGCTTAGCATTCTCTCTAGCTGGTTCAGAGAGAGGGCTGGGAAGCAGGCAAGGAGAGAACTTACTTTGGTGTTACTGGTTCTGAGTTCATTTATGGAGTAGGAGGGATTTGGAAGTGTGAAATGTGGCAGAATGGGTGGATCAATAAAGTGTGGGGGGTCAGAGAACAGAAGTGGAGATTTCAAGGTTGGAGACACATGGACTGGGTGGGCACATGGCCTGCAGTGGTGGATGCCCAAACCAGACTGTGTCAGACTAGCTTGGGTATCAGAGCTAGCAAAAGTCAAGAGGACTCTTGAGAATTCTAGAACCTTCTTCACCAAGCCCTGACTATAGGATTTTGGTTCCTTTCCCCATACATCCAGCTCTACCTTAGAGAGGAGATGGGGAAAGGAAGTCTGTGTAACTGTACATGTGGCCTCCAGAAACTGCTTAAAATACACCACTGGTTAACACCTGGCTGGGCCAGTTTAGTATTACTCACACTCCTGCTACATACTAGGCTATAGAGGCAAGACAGTGTTCATAAACAGCCAATAATTTTTGGTGTGTCTAAGATTTTGTGGGAGTCAATTAACGTGCTCACTCTCTAACATCCAGTCATACATACATTTGGGCACATGCAGGGCCAGCCTGTGGAGCAGCTAGGCAGGTACTAAGCTACACTTAGGTATGCAGACAAAACCAGTGGAGGCAACAGGCTTCTGAGCCAATAACCAGAGTATACTGTAGCAAGTCCATCTACAGGGGCATCTGTAAAGCCCGAGGAACTGGAAGATCAGAGGAAGACCATTCAGTCTCCGCCAGAGTGTGCCGTGAGCACCACAGATACTACAGCTATGAGCTGCTTTGAGCTGTTTACAGTCTGCATTCTCTAGATGAAGACATAGATGGTGATTTAGGTAAAGGAAAAGGCCCATGAAAAGGGAACACAGGAACACCTGGGAACCTGCAAGCACTGGTAAGTTGTGGGAACAAAGAATATTTGCAGGGAGGTGCAGAAGGTGAGGCCAAAGGCGGGTCACAGGCTGGATGCTCTGGAAGGTTTTGACTTGTCTCGAAACAGTGATGCAATCTACAGTCTTTCTATAATCCTCAAAGCTATGAAATACGTGAAGTAACAGCCAATGTTCACATATGTTCTCGTGTTTATTTTAACTGGACTTCATCTTACACACGAGATAGACATATCTGATCTTAACCACTCAGGGAAGTCCCAAGAGAATTCAACAAGTCACAACCCCTGAATTATTTCCCTTGTCTGAACTGAGACCCTTCACTTGATATCCATACAAAAGGAAACGGTTACGGCCTCAGAGGAACCCTCAGTGGTTACAAATTACCTTGTCATTCAACACAGTAGCCGGGAATCAAGCAGGTGGGTCAGAAGGGAAGAAAAGCAGTGTGCATCTCACTCACCTGAACTTGGATTTGGAGATCCGGTGGCTGAAAGAGTAAAGGGAAATATTAGCAAAAAATGTATACTCATTTTCTTTCCCATAAAAAACTCAGAAATCCCAGAGGAGTTTGGTGTTCTCCAGGTAACTGTATGTGGGCACTGTAAGGATTTGTGGGGTGGGTTAGAATGCTACAGAGAAAGAACATGGTGTATTTGAATGTGGCTGGCCCAGTTGACATGTACAAATATAGTATGTTCTAAATGTGGATGAACTGCACTGGAGAAGGGGAGCACACTGTCCTGAGAGGATAAGCATCTGCTCACCACTCTGTGAAGGGCTAGGCACATGGTGGATGGAAAGCCTTTCCTGTGGCAAGAGGACTCCACCAGCAGAAAACTCACACCAATAGGACCTCAGTGCACTTTGCCAGGACCTGCATCAAAGCTGGGTTAGGAAGCAAGCCCAAACCATGTGAGCCAGCTGGAAATGGAAAGGCCACCACCTCCCTGTCCCAGAGCCGCTCACTAGGCACAAACAACCTCAGATTCTGAAGAGAAACTGAATGCTGAAGTCGTGTGTAGCCCTGGGCAGATGCACAGGACGGGTATGCTGATGATGGTTGCTTTGAAGAGTCATCACATGGAAAGTTTCCTGAAAGGTGGTTCTGTCAAAGAGGCCTTGAGACTGCCTTGTTCATCTATGACAGAGTCTAGGTTCTACGAGGAGACCAGAGGGGGGGAGAGGCCAAGAAAGAGGCTTGCCAGTGGGGAGTATGGAAGGGGGGGGGGGAGGAAGGAAGATATGAGAAGAGGGAGGGAAGAAGGGAGAGAGGGAGGAAGGAAGAGAGGACGGAGGGAGGATGTAAGCTTCGGAGATAAAACATTTAGGGTTAAACATCTGAAGGCATGGGTTAGCTTGGCTTTGGTGCTAAGAGAAAGCAGAATTACAGTGCTCCATGGCTATGAAGAGCAGAGCTCAAATGAGACATGACAATGATGAGAGACCCTTGTGGGGATGTTGGAAGGTGATTGCTACAAGCCACGTCGTTCCAGCCAGGCACAGAGCAAGCTGCGTCACAGCACAAGAACGCACCAACCCCTCTTGTTACTTTTTTATTAAAAAATAAACCAGAAGATGTGACAGGTGGCAAAGACATCGTGCATGCGATAATTATATCTCCGGGGCACTGAGAAGCAGAGCCAAGTGCCTTTATTGCTCTGAACTGTTAGCTAACAACCTTTTCCCACCCCCCAAGGCTGCCTGCTAGGCTGGAGGGTTTAACCACATGTTAATTGAGCGTGTGGGAGGGGGACCTAAAGCCAAGGGCAGCGTTTTTATTTAGTTCCACCATTTGAGGAAACATGTTTTCTAGATGCTAAATGTGTGATAGGGAGGCAGGTTACTCTCTGTAGCAAGGATGTGCTGAGCCCGGGACCTTGTGCATCTTCCCAAGCTTGCCTTTGAGGCCTACCTTGTCTTGCTGTTAAATATGACTCAAAATGTGTGACCATGGCCTTCAGCCTTGAGGTTGGCTGGTTGGTCCCAGGCCTTCTAGCAGAGGGTCTCGGTAGCCTCCCTCCGGCTCATCTCAGACCACGTGTCCCCCTGAAACTCTCCCTTGCATTCTCAGTCTAGTTAAGTGACAAGGAAAAGTGAGACCTTAGAAACGCCCCGCTGGGGAAGTCATATCCGAACTCTCCCAAGGAAATGAATTTAGGACACAGACTGTGGGAAGATCTGGGCTGTGTGATATTTGTTCTTGTTCATGCATGACCACTGACTGGTGTCCTTGCACATCCTGGGGCAGAAGGAAATGGGACATGACACGCCTCCCCACTTGGCTTTGAGGCCTGATGTGTAAGCCTGTACACCATACACGAAGAAAGCTTTGTGTAGGGATGTGTGGGCACAGCTTCAAGTTCTCTGTGTCCAAAATATTCATCTGCTTTTAACACTGGCACACTTTCCAGCAGCAGTGCTCGGTACCATACAACTTATGCACCTGTACTTAATAAAAGAGCAGCGCTTATCTGGAGACAGGGGAAACTCCAGGTCCTAGGAAAGCTGGGCTTAGAACACTTGGGAAGACTGGAGGCCTCGATTCCCCTGTACTCTATTTCACTTCATGAAATAGAAGGCCTCTAATCAGTCCTCTGCCTCTTGGCAGTAAAGATGGACTCAGTGTCTAGGTAGCTGTTCCTACTGTGGGGAAATGAGCCAGGTCGCACTGTGAGTATGTTGGCATATCTGCCTTCTTCTGACATTTGAAATCTGTACAGACCTCAGAGCTCTGAGAACAACAGAAGCCTCCAGTGTATCCAAACCCCCAATGGGCATGTGCAGCTTGCTCAGAAGAGTCTTCATTTCTCCATCATTCATGTTCAAGCGGGTCACAAGCCCTACCTCGCATTAAAGTGGATGTGTTAAGAGCAATGTGGTAGAAGTTAGTAACTAACCAGTGTGGAAGACCTCCAGGATGCACCACTGGGTTTGAAATGAAGTCCTATTTATCTCCAGGTACTTTTTCTGCTCAGGCATCTAGGACCAATCAGGAAGACCAAGACTTTCTTCCTTGATCTTGGCATTCAGAATTAGAGACAACCTTAAAATCAATTTTTTTCTTAGTTACTCAGTTTCTATTTATCATTATTGGACATATATTTGAACTCTTTGGGAGTTATTTATATTTTCAGCCTCTGCTTCCTTCTTTGAATAATTAGCATCATGCACTTACAACCTGCTGTGTGAAATACTATTTCCCTGAACTGCCCCCATTTTGACTTTAACACAGTCAGAAAGCACTGCACTCATCAGCGTGGACAGCTTTCTGACTCAGCCTTCCGAACTTGACTACCACCCTAGCCATTATTATGAGAAAGGGCATAATCTGGACCCTGTCCCAGCTGAAATGTTGCTCCAGTTATTGGGCACTAAACCTAGTCACTCCACATCTCTAGCCTGAACCTCCCTCCTTCTTATGGTCCCTTCATAGAACCCAGACTTTGCCTGTAGGAGGACTCAATTGCTCTGTCTTTTTCAAGGATCCTAGGGAAGTGACAGGCTTGACTTTGATTGCTCAGCTTGACACCCAGTAATGTCCACATGGCCCTAGACATAAGGTAGAGTAGCTACCTAGCCTTTGACTGGGCCTCTATCAAATCCCCCGGGTGGGTTCATACAACTCTTGGTTCTTAGTGCTTTTATGCTACAAAAAGTGCCAAAAATACATTTAAAAGCATGCCAAGTACACACTGACAGTGCCAGTCTCCATCACGTGCAGGGCTGCCCATCTAGTGAGCCCTCAGCAGTATTCCCATTTGCATCTTCCATGCCGTCTTTCAAGTTTCTACAGCATCCAACTCTCACCCCTAGAGAGGTGATACTATTAGTGTGATTCCCATCACTGACCACAGTGTGCTTTTGATTCCATGTGCTTTACACAGCCATAGGCTTAGAGATGGTCTCAAGCTGTGGGATGCACTATTCATCCATGATCGCACATGGAGCCAAACAGAACAAAGAGATGGGAGCAGTCCCCTTTGAAACAGCCCAGAAGTCACCTTGGCTTCTGCTGGAATCACTGACTTGTCCTGCTCCCTTGTTGAGAAGGAGGAGCTGCACCTCAGATAGAGAGTGGTTGGCTGAGGTCACAGGCCTGGCTAGGGCTGCTGATGGCGATCTCTTTTTCCTTTGCCACTCCCCTGCATGGACACATTTCCTCTACATCTCTTCAGGCCCTTCTTTTCCACTGGCTGCTTGGTGCCTTGAAGATGACCCAGATGGTGATGAAAACAAGTCTTTTACTGCCCTTGCTGCCTCCTCCTTTCCTTGTCCCATTTTTCTCTCTTTTATCACAGCCTTAGTGCTTCAGGGAGTGCCCTCCACTGGTACATCTCCACCTCCTTCTTGCTGACGCTGGCTCCAGAGTCAATATACCCTTAAGCCCCATAGAGTGGGGTCCAGGACACACTGACAATGCACTCGCCCTTTCTGTCCCTACATTGAAACTCTAGCCTAGGCCACCATCATCCCACACCTGGGCAGCCACAGAGCCTGTTTTACTAGTCTACCATCCTCTTTCTTGTTCCTAATGACAAAGTGATCCTTCAAGAGCACAAAACTGGCCAAACCAACCTCCTCACATAGCTCCATGTTCTTGAAACTGTTCAGTAACTTTTCATACTCCTATGACAAACACCAACCTTATTATAAGGGTCTGCTTGGCCCTGCCTGCCCCTTGAATTGCCTTCCCTCACACGTGAGCAGCTGCCCCAAGGTAATCAATAGTTTATGTTCACCCTCAGTTTTCAGCTTCAACTTAAATTCTTCACTGAAGCTTCTCTTAACCTGCCTGTCTAAACCAGGACCCTCTGCTATCGAGCTTGTATTATATTTACTTTCCCATCGTAACACCCCATTGGGGTTTCTAGAGCCTCTTCCACACTAGATAGCCAGCTCCACGGAAGTGGTGCCACTTTTTTTTGGATGACAGTCATCTGTACCATCCAATAGAGGCTGGGGACAGCTATGAAAGTCCACCCAACACAGGCTGGGAACAGCCATGGAGGTCCACCCACCACATGCTGGGAATAGCTGTGGAGATCCACCCAACACAGGCTGGGAACATCCGTGAAGGTCCACCCAACACAGGCTGGGAAAAACCATGAAGGTCCACCCACCACAGGCTGGGAACAGCCATGAAGGTCCACCTACCACAGGCTGGGAACAGCCATGAAGGTCCACCCAACACAGGCTGGGAACATCCGTGAAGGTCCACCCAACACAGGCTGGGAACAGCCGTGAAGGTCCACCCACCACATGCTGGGAACAGCCGTGAAGGTCCACCCAACACAGGCTGGGAACAGCCGTGAAGGTCCACCCACCACATGCTGGGAACAGCCGTGAAGGTCCACCCAACACAGGCTGGGAACAGCCGTGAAGGTCCACCCAACACAGGCTGGGAACAGCCGTGAAGGTCCACCCAACACAGGCTGGGAACAGCCATGGAGATCCGCCCAACACAGGCTGGGAACGGCCATGGAGATCCGCCCAACACAGGCTGGGCCAACACAAGCTGGGAACAGCCATGGAGGTCTGCCTAACACAGGCTGGGCATGGCCATGAAGGTTCCCACAGAAAGGACTTTCCTAAGTCCCCCCTCCTATGTAACCCAATGTGCCTTTGTCTGTTTCACTTGCTTCTTTGCATGTGTGTCAATTTCCCCAACATTTGGCCTTGGTCTCCTGCTTCCAACAAACTTTGTCCTATAACCTCAGTAACAACCTCAAATGCCAGGCTCCACCTCTACTTAGAACTGGATCCTGGCGCTCCAAATCCTGCTGTCCACACCCACAGATCAGGCTGGGCCCTAGCTTCAAACTTCACTTCAGCCTCACGATCACTTTGTCTTCTCAAACCTGGGTGGCTCCTTTTTTATGCCCTTTCGTACTCGCTGCCTCCTCCCAAAAAAAGCATCACTTTGCAATTTGTTCTTCTTTACCTCCTGCCCCTCCCCCCAGATCACATCTTTACCTAGGCCTTCTCACATGCAAGCCCTCATCCTGATCTCATTTTATTGCACAAGATTTGTAAAATTTTTACTTTTTTGACAGTTTCATATAGGAGCACTGTATTTACATCACCCTTCCCTCACCTCTACCCCTCTACTCCTCTCCTGTCTCCTCCATCTCAACTTTGTGACCTCATACTTGATTGTTACATACAAATATATGTTCTATAATATATATTATACACAGTAGACTGAGTCTGTTTAGTAGTGCTGGCATGAACATATGTTTATGACTGACCACTTGGGATTGGCTAACCCATCAGGGAGTGATCCCAGAGTAAACTGATTCTCCTTCCCTCCAAAGCCATTGATCGTAGCTCTTCATCTAGAGGTGGGACCTTTACACAAGACTTTCAGCTCAAAGCTTTTAAAATATTGGTCTCTCATCAAATCCTCAGCTCGTTTACATGGTGCTTCTCCCACAGCAACACTGGCAGTTTTACTCCATCATTGTCTGGGTGGGATAGGGAGGCAGGGAGATGGGGAAAGACCATGGTTTATGACATGTATATTGTAACTCCAGCACAGTGGAATTAACGTTAAACATTTAAAAAATGCTTTGTATTTTTCATGTGTATAAATATTCTGTGGAGATCAGAAGAGGGCATCAGATCCACTGAAAGTAGCATTACTGAAGGTTGCTAGCCGCCATGTGGGTGCTAGGAACTGAACCCAGGTCTTCTGCAAAAACAGCAAGTGCTCTTAACTGCCAAGCCATTTTTTCTAGCCCTGTGATTGTATTTTTTATATACAGAATAGATGCAGCACCCTGGGCATGGGTAGGAATAACAGCAACTATTTCTACAGAACTCTCAAAGCCTGGGCAGCACACCTAAGCAGATGACAGACTGTCAGCTTCCCTCCACAGGGGATGATCACATTCTCTGTCCAACCCAGCATTGTCCAACCCTAAAATGTGTTGCTAAGTGAGTTCCCAGTGCCAGTTCCCAGGCCTCTCCTGGTTTATACCTTGGGCCATGCCCAAACGTCAGCATTGCAATAACCTTAACCATCTTTCCTCCAGACTCTCCACCCTTGATGTCTAGACAGAGAAAGGCCTAGAATTTATAGACTAGAAGGTTCCCATACGCCTGCCCCTAGTATTGCTATCTGGTGCTCACCTCTAGATGCTCATGTGCTTGTTTTGTATGATTCCAAAAGAAAGGAGGAAGAAAAAGGCTGGGACTACTGCTTAAAAACGTAATTAGTGCCATCTTTTAACAATACTGACAATAATTGCTTCTCAATGACTCTGAGAAATCTGCAGTGCAGACTCCCTGGTGCCACTGTCAGAGTGAGTGATACTATGGCCCTACGTACCCTGGAACCTGGCTGCAATGATGCTCTGCTCCTCAGCCTTGCTTACTTCCCTCCTTTGGCTCACAGGCACACTCAGATTTGCCTGCAGCTATGTTGTGAGAGGGTTGCATCTGAGAAGCTATGAGTCCTGGCACAGAGGAAGGTGCTGTTGTAGCTGTGGAATATGTAGAGAAACATTTTATTTGGCTAATCCTACTCAGAGCCTTCTGTTTGCAGTTCCTTCCAAAGGTCAAGACAAGTTCACAGCTGTTACCCCCGTGTCCACAGGAAAAGCAATCACCACCTCTCAAAGTAAAACCTGAATGGTCCTATTATCATCACTACCTCTCAAAGTAAAACCTGAATAGTCCTATTATCTTGAACTATGGCCAGTGTGGCTACCTGATGGCATACCTGTTTAATCCTCAGGTTCTTCTTTCTGAGACATTAATAATCAAACAGGTTTTTCCCATTTTAGCAATTAAGCCATTTTTTCCCTTTCTTTTAGGGGGTTGGGGCCACTGCACAGGGATGACTTGTTTCTGTGTTCAAGACTGGGAAAATCCATGTGTGAACTGATCCCACTGGCACCAGCCCCTCCTCTCTCATCTAGCTCAGTTCCAGATCAAAACTAGCTCCCTAAAGCCATAAGTTGGTATTTGGACCAGGGAAGGAAAGAGGGCTTGGTTGGAGGAAGGACGACCATCACCGAGGCTAAGGACACTCACAGTGGTATGCCAGGTACCGGCTACCCTTCATTGACGGGTATCTCAATCACCTGGCAATGCAGTTTCTTAGTGGTGTGCTTTTCTTCTAGGCCACGTGTGTCAGAGTGGAAAGGGTGGCCATGTAGACCCAGGGACCCTGACCTACTGCCTCTTGTGAAAGGAGGTGGGAGGGAACAAGACAAAGCAGACATCAAGCACCCCCATATTCTGTACTTCTCTGATGGGGTGCAAAGGGGTTCAACATCTGAGTCAGGTCCTCACAGAAGTGCATTGGATAAGCTTTGATTAGAAGACCCTGCCACCATGTATGAGGCTGTAATTCACCACAGGCCACTTTGCTCTCCACACAGGGCACAGGCTGTCACTCAAGATTCTGATTTTGTTCCTGCATTGAAGAGCCAGCCCGTTCTGACTTCAGGAGGCAGCTTCCCAGCCACACCCCAGGAAGAAGTCAGTGCTACGTTCGCCAAGGGTACTCACGCCAGTCTGGCTCCACAGTTTTCGCCCTCGATGTCACCTCCAGCCACATTTTCAGTGTTGACAGATTCAGTCTCACTTGTGGGCATGCTCACTGTGTATAAAAGAGATGCACGGAAGGCATTGAGGATGGGGAGAGAAAAGGAGGAGAAGAACATTAGCGTACAACATGCTATTCTAGTCCAGCGCTGGCGCTGGCTGGGCACCATCTGCTCGCCCACATATGGGGGCTGGGCCCTGGCACTGCCCTCATCAGGCTGAGGGCTCCTTGACTGATACCCATGGATCATCTAGGGGAAGTCAGCCACCAGGGACACTGTTGATGAGTGGGAACGTGGGAGGGAATCTAGTGCTCAGATCATTTTACCTTACTGGACACATCTAGAGGACACATCTGGAAAATACTCAATACTGCATCCTTCCTCTACCCTCCACTCGGTAGCCTCAGAAAAGCTGTGGGAATTTCCCATTTGTTTCTATTATTCACCCCAGGAAGAGAGGCTCTCATAAGACTTTGCGTCTCTTTTTGCTTTCCCCCACCAGCTCTATGGACTTTGTTCTCAAGAGCAGAGTCCAGCTTGTTTGTAGGAAGAGTACTTTAGGTCCTTCACAAACTTCTGGACATGTATGAGGATCTCCTTTTCCTATAGTGCATGTTGTGTCTAGAAGCAATTTCACTTAAGACCATACGCAAAGTGGTGAGCTTGACACAAATAACCACTGCCTTGCAAAACACTGCAGGCGTAGGAATGGAGGCACTGGTTGTAGGATCCACAGAACCAAGTTTAAATGTGGCCCAAAGAGAGCCTGCTGGGATACCATCTCCCTTCCCAGCAGTTCTGAGAGTCCCATCTAAACAGAGACACAAACCACCTGATTCTACAAGAGTTAGTCTGTCCAGGAAATATCCAGCCTCTTGCCCTAAGGCAGCAATGGGCTGGATTTCCAGAACAGAGGGAGTTTTTCTGGATTATAATTCAGTATGGTGGCTTAGAGAACATAATTTCTTTTAGCATTATTCATTCTACTAAATAAAACTTTAGCAGCTCAAGAATTAGCCATAACCTCTCTCACCCTGTTAATGTGATATAAATTCCTTCGATTTTTACTTTTTTTTTTTTTTGCTCTCTTTGAGACAGGATCTCCCTGTGGCCCCAGCTGGCCTGGACCTCACTATGTAGACCAAACTGGCCTCTACCTCACAGAGATCCACCTGCCTCTGCCTCCTGAGTGCTAGGATTAAAGAGGTACGCCATTACGCTCTGGCTATTTTTTTTTTTTTTTTTTTTGAGACAGGGTCTTGATATAGCCTCTGCTGGCCTCAAACTACCAATCCTCCTGGCTCAGCCTCCTGAATGCTGGGATTAGAGGCAAATGCCACAACATCCACCGAGTTGGTTTCTTGGTTCCTTGTTCCTTGGTTTTGTCAGCACATCTTTAGAGTGACCTGATCAAGTACTCCTTCCAGAATAGCACTTATCTGGTAAGAAAATCATCCCCAGCAGCCACAGCACTCGCAATTAGTGAGGATGTGACACTAATAGCAGTCTCCGTGGGCTACCACAGCCAAGGAAAAGACTTTCAGTGGTTACACGATAATGTTAATGAATTTGGGCTTTTCCAAGTTCCTTTTCTTTTAGATGAAGATAAATGAGGTGGGTGAGAAGTCATTCATTTCAACATTAAAGACACAAACAGAAAGCCCATGACTTACCACGTGTTTGACTGTCACATGGGCAGCAACTTCTTTAACTTAGGATTCTTTCTCAGTAAAGTTGAGAAAAAAAGAATCCAGACAACAGCTCATGGATACTGAGAGATGGATGAGATTTAAGATGTTACTTAGCTCTAACATGCCACTCTTACTTCATAAGAGAAGAAAGTGAGGCTTAGAGAATGGGTGTGATGGTCAAGGTCATGTGCTACATCTGGGAAGGACTAAGGATAGGGCACAAGGCTCAGGATCCCTGTCCTATGCTCACATTGACCACTCCAGTGTTGACCAAGTCTCTCTTCTACATCTAGGGTATGTCAATGATTGGGAAGTTGAGCCAGGCTCTGGGAGCAGCGCTGGAAGTAGTATATAGCCAGGCAGTGGCCGTTGAGTTTTGTAGGATTTACACTTACACTATAGCCCAAGGTCTTACTTAGGGTGGGACCAGTCATCTGGGATGGCTTAGCATTGGGAGCTAGGAAGATGAACCCTCAGAGGTTTCCAGGAGCCTTGAAAAACCCACAGGAAAGAAGCCCTACTGTAAAGAGCCTTCTGCCATTTAATTTATCTCTTCAAGCACTTCTGACCTCAGGCCCCTTAAACTCTCCAGGTCTCGTTGTAGGAAGGGCCGAGTCATATATAGAAAGCCATCTGACTTTGTAATACTTGACTCTCAGAGAGTCTCTTGTCTGTGAGTAGAGTGGAGTGAAAGTGGTGGTGCTAGGCTTGGAAAGACAATAAAATTAGAACCAAGCAGACCTGAGCCTTAGAAGTAAGGGTATCTTCTACAGTCAAGGCACTGCCAGGACCAGGACCAGGACCAGTTTTGCTTTTACAGTGACTTTGATTTTGGCTGGTATCGTTCAAAGCAATGGCTCTATCTTTTATCAAGAAAAGTCAGTGCTGACTTTATATATAGGAGGAGATAAGGATCAGTGTTCCTCCCCTCCCAAATACATACACAAACACATACCAACACATAATCACATACACCAAACACCAGAAGAAACGCTCTCTCATCCAGTCTGGTGCAGACTAACACACAGAGAGCATAGGGGACATTACCATGGGTTTCTGTAGAGTGACTAAACCAAGCAAACGTCCCTTTCTTCTGATCAAGCAAGCCCGCTGGAGCTCCTCCTTTCACAGACAAGATGGTCAGTGCCAAAAACAGGAACAAGACATCAACAAAGAACATGCAATCAGCCATAGGCAAAAGAAACAACTCAGTTTTCACACAGAACACCCACTTTTATCTCCAAAAATTAACTTTAAAAATTTAAAAACATAAACCAAGACATATAAGAGAACATAAAAAAATACAGCCAAACCCCATAAATCACATGAATTAACAACATAAAACAAATGATGAACCCATTGGTAAAGCAAATAGGGGACTCTAGAGGAGGCTCTGATTTACTGGCACACATAATTGGAGACTTGGAGAAGAGGGCTGTTCCTTGCTGTGTCTGCTGAGTGGAGGTGCGGCACCCCTGGTACAGGCTTGAGCAGGTAGCTGCTAAGGGCAAGCTAGCATCTGTCTTTACCCCTCCCACTTATCCAGTGGCTCAGCTCTTCTCTTACAGGGGACCATATTGTAAAACTGCCAGCTACAGTGGACTCAAGGGCTCCCTTTCAGCTTATACTGGGTTATTGTCATTTGCCTATTGATCTATTTGCCCCTTTGTCCAGCTCAGTCACTCAGTTTCAGTCAATAAAGGCCCATTCAGTGCCTCAGTCTTGATCACACCCAAAGCACGTATGCATCTTCTTTACTTCTGATTCCACAAATGCTTACTTTATTTTATTCTTTATGCACTATGCATGTCATTCCTATACTTTAAAAATGAATAGGGCACTTGTCACTCTGTATTCTTTTAAAGAGGGAATTAGCTGAGAGTCTGTTTTAGGTACAGAATAACTAAACTACCTTTGGTACCTAGTTTTCATCAGAGTTCAATTCTTTGTCCCTGAGTGGCCTTTGGGTAGCTGTGCACAGACTGCCTTAGGTTCTGTGGGGTCTGGGCTGTAGCTGAAGGGGAAGGAGTTAAAGGAAATTATGAAGGACCTCCTATTGCATAGGAGCAGGGAGTTCTATGCTACATAATGAGTTCCTTTAGCTAATGCCTCAGAGTGTCTCCCTGCCTCAGTTGGTAACATTTGTACTAGTGTGCCTCTGTGAAGCCATGGGAGCAACAGCTGGCAAAAAGTGATGGGTGTGTCACAACCACAGCTTAGTAATGAGGAGCAGCAGTGAATGGAGATGGGAGGTTACCAGCTATTCTTACAAGGATGGGGAACAGGCAAGTGGCCCCATATTCTCTGGGGAAGGGCATGAAGTGAAAACCATGGCTTCTGTCTTTCATCCCAGCTCCCTGTAACTCAGATTATAACCACTGAACTTCTGTGAACATTTTTTGTTAGTGGGAATTCAGAAGATTGGCTCTTCTTAGGAAGGGGCCAAACTGATTTCCAACCTATGGGAAAGACCACTCATCTTTAAAACAGTATAGAATAAACAAACTCCAAAATAAGTACAGTAGCTTCCCTTCCTTCCTTCCTTCCTTCCTTCCTTCCTTCCTTCCTTCCTTCCTTCCTTCCTCCCTCCCTCCCTCCCTCCTTCCCTCCCTTCTTTCCTCCCTTCCTTCCTTCTTTCCTTCCTTTTTTTTCTGAGACAGAGTCTTCCTGTACCACCAGATGACCCAGAACTCACTATGGCCTTGAACTCACAGAGATCCATCTGCCTCTGCCTCCTGAATGCTGGGATTAAAGGCGTGTGCCACCACGCCCGGCACTTCTTTTTCTTTTTCTCCTCAAAGTCCTATCTGAATAAATCCTGACAATGATTTGGCTCACAGTTCCTTCTAGAGACAGGTACATTTTAGAACAGTAACAAGAACTAAAGTGAGAGCTCTTCCAGGACTGAGTCTTCTGCGGAAGGGTGAAAAGGTAAAAGAAAGTTGTCAATCACCAAGCCTCCGAATGTTCCTGTCATTGGTGTGAGGAGACAAGGATTCTGGTCAGTGATTCAAGGCTTGAAGACCTACCAAACAGCAGCATTGTCTAGCATTTAGTTTGACAATGTCACATCTTGTTCAGTTCTGGAAACAACCGTACGATAATTTTAAAAGCTGTAAGAAGAACCTGATAAATAACATGGCTATTTAACATGTAACCAGATCTACCAGGGCTAGCCTTTCATGGTGATTTGCAGGCTCTCTAGCTCAGTTTGTATGGCCTGCATGATCTCCATTCAATTTGCTGTGTGGGTCAAGTCACATATCTAAAGGCCCCCGGCTGAAATGAATGTATCTCAACTGAAAGGAGCATTTGTAGTAGTTTATCCCATAAGCATCTGGGCCAATAAAATAGGTGAAGAT